AGCATGCTTGTTTGATTGGTCATCAAACTCGTGGAGTGTTTCCGGCCTCGAGCATAATGAGTCATCTATCTGCTCAAGATAATGACTGCAAAGGTAATCCCTATAACTTGGCCTTTCAGATTGAACCAACTATACGATTGGATTCAACTGGCTTGTGGCTCGAGTAGCTCATTACGCTTGGGTTGTCGTGTATCACAAGCTCCTCGGCTGGGGTCCCACCAGTCAGCTAGTCCGGCAGTGGAGCCTCGGCCGTAATGGCTGCACAAGTGACAGAGCCCTTTAGTGTTGTGGCATAGCATTACCTTGATGTCTTCTGTTCACCTCGAATTGTGACTATCCCCGAGGCTGTAGGATACTTTATCATCTGGTGGTAAGTGGAGGAGATAGCCTTTAGCTGGTGTATGAAGGGTCGGCCTAGTATCGCATAATATGCCAAGGTTCTGTCAATCACTACAAACTCGGCAACCGTAGTAACCTGTTGCTTCCATTCGCCGAGAGTGACCGGAAGCGAGATACATCCCTCGGCTGTTACTGACTCTCCAGCGAAACCCATCAGCAGCATAGGGCCCGTCGCTTTCGGGAGAGCCAACGTACTTCTTTAGGTAGCCACGTCAAATGAGGTCTTCAATTTGGTCTTTCAGTGCATAGCAGGTCGAGGTATCGTGGTCGTGGTCTTTATGGAACCGGCAGTACTTCGTCTTATCCTTTTTACCGCTCTGCTTGCGACTCTTTCCTAGCAGTGAGAGTAAATTCTCAAATCCACCTTCCTCCACAACTGCATGAATTTCCGCTATGGGTCTGTTGGTCGGCGTGTACTTGTCGAACTGAGGCGTATTTTTTGATTCAGTTCGAGCGTCACTACGTTGCTCGGAAGTCTTCTCCTCGGGTAGGCGACTTGAAGTACGATCATCGCCCCGTTTCTTCTGAGACTTGTCATCTCGACTACTATAGCGTTTGCCGTCGTTGGCCTGCCAGAGCTCGAGGCCATCGATGTACCTCCCTGCGAGAGTGAGTAGCTCATTGAACAAGGTAGCTGGCTTGCTGCTGAGCTTCATCACTAGGTTTCTACCTTTCAACCCGGTGGTGAAGTATATTATTGCCATCTCGTCGGTGCAGTTTAGCACCTTAACGTGCTCGTCCATGAACCTGGTGATATAATCGGTCAGGGACTCGCAATCTCGTTGTTTGATCGTCCCAAGGTGGGATGTTGGAAGCTTCAACAACTGCAGTGCCGATAACTGGTTGATGAACATCTTGCGCAGCTATCACAGCTGCTGATGGCTGATGGACTTCAGCTTCAACTGCCGGGGTTCATAGTAGGGTCCTTGAATTTGTGGGGGATCGACTCGTCTAGGATGTCCTGAATAAACGAAGGCTTTTCCCTTTCTGAGAAGTCGACCTAGCCGAGGGCCTTGTAAGTGTTTTTGAGGTCTTCGATTTCCTTCTATATT